CCACCTCTTTCCACTCAGAATGTCTGCTCCCTTCCCCTTGTCTTCATCATTATTTTGCTCCTGCTTCTGATCTTGTTTAGTGTTGATTTTATGTTTAATCTATTCCTGAGCTCTCCTCTATTTCTCCAGCTCCAGGGACATGGACCCACCATTTGAGCTTGCTGCACAGTCCCTTTACCATCCTAGGACATTTTTATGCATGCATAAGCCTATGATGCATGCAGCAGCCTGCCTGCACATGGAATGTCACCGTCAGCTCACTTCCACTGTTCTCACTTCCACTTACTCAAAGCCCTGGCTCCTGCACAGGCCCCTCCCCAAACATCAGGCATTTCTGGGAGTCCTTGAGAGCATCCTGCCTGTACTGGAGGTACCCTATGTCCCAGCTCTGACCTGCCCCTTAGGAAAGATATCAGGAAGGCGTACATCCAGGTGGCTGCACTGTGGCCTATGGTAATGGGGTAGGGTGAGGTATGTTTGCTTCTTCTTTGTTGAGCTCCACTCCATTGGAGAAATCCCAGTTCAGTGCCCAGAGAAATCCCAGTTCCAGAAATCCTTGGAAATCTAGTTCCAAGTTGTATGTGAATAGCTCTTGCAGGTTTTACTTATGGCAACTTCTCCAAGTCTATCTTCTTTACTGCCCTTGCCATGCAGAGAAGGGTATAGCTGGTTAAGAGTTGGACACCAGCCATTAGTGCATAGTCCAGTCCAGTCTCTGTATCTTTGTGCCATTGAGCAGAGAGGGGCTAGCTGAGGATGGCCATCTTCTCTCCGTGGGGCCCCAAAAATCTCAGGCAACCAACTGGAGTATTTTCTCCCTGCTCTGAGTCTCTGCAATTCACGGTCTCTGCAAAGCTTCCAGCTACCTTTCCCCTCCTTCTAAGACCTTAGGGGGATATTGTCTATGGAAATTCAATTCATGATTTTTCTCACAGAGACAGGATGTGACAGAGACTTCCTCGTTTTGTTCTATCTTTTTATATAGCAAAGAGAAGAGCAAGCAGCATGTGTATTAAGGTAGAAGGTGGGTGGGTGGGTAATTCTGTCACAGATGAGTTGGTCCCCTGAACTTAGCTACCAGCTCATGTCCAGGGGACCTTAGTATCTGAGACCAAGACATTTTACTACAGTCATGTCTTTTGCAGGGAGCTAAGATCACCAGGAATCATCTGCCATTCCAGACCCCTTGCTGCTTCCTGCCAGGTATGTGGCTCATTCTCAACACCTATCTAAACCCCCACCTTCCAGAAATGGAAAGAAGAAAATGATGGCTTTGAAGAGAGGACAAGATGAGTTGACACCATCTTATAGACTGAACCTGGCTGCAGGATGGGTTGTTTCAAGTGTGGCTAAGAGGAGATATTCATTCAGGCAGGTCCACCTGAGGAGGTAGGATTCTGATGGTCTCCATTTCCCCCTCCAGCCTCCCTAAGTTCCTTTCTTGGGGCAGTTCATCTACCTTGGAGACAAGGGGTGGAAATCTTGTGGTTCAATTGAAATCAAACCAGAGTAAGCCAGTGAGCATTAATTGACAGCTTGTGGAGGGCAAAACATTGCAGTGGGTACTGGAGGGGGAGAGGGTGGGAGAGTACTCTACCCCTCAAGGTGTACAGACTGAGATGCAGGAATGGGAGAAGGACAAACACACTGCTGTTACACAGCCCAAGCTCATGGGAGTGGTAAAAGTAAAAAATAATCTTTAAAGAGATACTTAAGAGCTGAGGGAATGCAAACTAAGAGAACATCAAGTATTGTTTAGGAATTGGAGATGCAGAAAGAGACTGGAATGGGGTTTGGGTGAGGCCAGGGAGAAAATGAGAAGAAAAGAAGGAAGGGGAGAAATGGGCTGCCTCCCTGGGTGGAGGGTGGTGGCATTTCTTTATCTTCAGTGTGTGCAACCCTTACTCCTCCAAGTGTATTCAGGAGACATCCCAGAAGATCCAGGAGAATATAGAGAATTTGCCCCACCTGCAAAGATTAGCTCCATACCAAGACTCTTTCTGGATGTCTTTCTCTTTCCTGGGTCCTCAATCTTCCTCCGATATCCTATGTCTCCAGACTCTGTCCCAAGCAAAACCTCCTCACCAGAAATAGTCTGCAATCTATACTGTGGTGTGAATAGCTGAGATCCGAAAGTGTCTCCCCTCACAGGGTACTTGCACTCCTGTGAGGATTAGAGCCTTTAAGGTGGACAGTGAGTTCAGAAAAGGCGAACTTCAGGCAGCAGGTGGGAAGAAGTGGGGCCCTTTAGGGAGCATTCAGCTCCTCTGAAGTTCCTTCAGGAAATCACCAGTCTTCCTCCAATTTAAGGCTTTTCAATGCCTTGTGCATTGGGAGCAAAGTGATCACAGGGCATGTCCCTCCTGTCCAAGAAGATGCTTTTGGCAAAGTCTGAGGAAGACTCCAGTTTTGAGTTGTTTTATGAGTAGTGGGAGATTTGGGGTTTTATTCATTAGTTGCTTGGTTGCTCATGCTTGGTTGCTTGGTCTTGTGGCTGACACCTGGGGACTCAGTCTGCTTCCTCACTGCATGTGAGCTGCTGTGAGTGCTGTAGTCAGGTGGTCCCTAACAGGAGCCATGTTCCGGGGCACAGGAAAACTGAGGGTGCATCCAGCCCTGGCAAACAACACAGCTGGTGAGGAATCTGTATCCAGACAAGTGAGGGCTTGTCTCCCCCCAATTCTACCACCTCCTAGCTGTGTGTGAAGGCATATTGCCTAGACTTCCTGTGCTTCAGTTAACTTATCTTTGACTCAGACTTATTAGTGATAATAATAATAATAATACTCCTTGTGTAGGTAAGTGCTTGGTAGATAGTAAGTGTTCAGTTCATATTAGTTTTTATTATGGTGCACATGTATGCCTGTGTGTGTGTGTGTGTGTGTGTGTGTGTGTGTATGACCTCCTTCCCCTGTAGCCTTAGTGATGGAATTCACATGGGTGTATCACAACAGAGAACTGTGGTCACATTAGTCATTCTTGGGCCTGGAACACTGACTGCCCCCCAAGAGGTAGGGAAAGCAGGGCATGTGCTCCTCCTCTGAGGCCCACCTGCCCATAACTATGAGCCTAATGCTCTGTCTCTGTGTGGTAGGAGAACCCGAGTTACCACCTGACACAAGTCTTGACTGATTCCTCAAAATCTGACTCATCTAAATGGATCCATAAATAGTCTATGAGCCCCTCATGTTTTGCAAAGTACTAGCTGGTGCTGATATACCTTCATTGCTTTGCCTTCATGTGGTTCTATCTTGAGAGTCCAGGAAACACTGAGCCATAAAGTACAAGAGAAGGGAACAGGGAGAGGGAGAGAAAATGCAAAGCCAGGGTGATCTTCCTGTTCTGGAATCCTTTGCTGCCAGTTTATTGTCATCACCAAAAGGGGAAGAGGCTGGTCTGGCAAGAGCCTGGACCTCAGCCCACAGCCCCCATTTATGCTAGCTATTCTATAACTAGTGATTCCAATAGCTACTGGCCATGAAAATAGTCCAGCCCTCTCTGGGGGATCTAACATTCCCTGCTGAAGGTTCCCTTTTGAAGCATTAATGGAGCTGTTCCAACTTAGCCTTCTGCCTGCCCACCTGCATGTGAGCTCCAGGAGGGGAGGGTTTCACAGGCCATTGCCCACTCACTGTTGTATTCCCATTGGTTGGGTCCTTCCAGTTCAGGGATTTCCCTCTCCCCCCAACTTACACACACCATTAACTTGCTTATATACCTCCTCTGACCACTCCTCTGCTATAGGATCCAGCAGCTTTTAAAGTCTTTACTTTACACCCTGATGATGCTATTGCTGTGTGGGTAGTGTTTTGCAGCCACAGGACACCAAGAACATGTTTTCAGGAGAAGGAGAATAAAGCAAAGGGGTGGGGTGGCAGAAAAAGGAGAAGGGGAGACTGGGGGGCTGAAGAAAGCTTCCTTCCCCTTGCGGGTATTATGATGGAGTGAAAGGAGAAGGGTGCAGTCTCTAAAAGAAGATGGAGAACAAGAAGTTTGGAAGGTGGAGGCAGAGAGAGAGGAGGTGCTGGCTTTTATTTATTAAAGAGCATCTAGCCCTCCCATGGAAGGCTTAATGACCCCTGAGTCAGCATTGGTTTCTTCCACTGTTCAGGCAAAGAAATCAAGGTTCAGCCAGTTATAGAACCTGCCTAAAGTCCCACCACTAAACTGAGGAGAGATGTGGAAAGGCTTGTATGTCTCCCAAGATGTATGGGCTGCCCACACTCACTGGCTATCAGACTGTGAAATGTTACCACAGGTCCCATGGGAGTTTCAGGACTGAAAGGGGACATCCCTTGCCTATGCTAGGGCTGAGTCTATTGGATCCCTAATGGGGGTGTGGCTAGATGAGATGACTCCATTAATGTGGCCTAGAAGACACGTCTTTCAGGGACAGAGACAGTCACCAGCTGACCTCATGGAGGCTTCACTTGAGGTTTTAGGACTGGAGGAATGTGTCTTAGCTGTGGTTGGAGCTGTCAGGCTGCTGTCAGGCATGCATCCCACTTCTGAACAATCAGAACTCTGTTTGTTCCTCTGTTTGTGGACCTGATGTTCTAGGCCAAAGGGAAGTAGGGCAGGGAGAATGAAAATGCCTCTGAGAGTCCTTATAGATTTCCTTTTGTTTGGGGAAAGTCACTCAGTCCCAGCTGAGCCCACACACAATGTGTGGCTCTATTCCTGACTCTAAACAATGAAAACCTGAGAAGCTGCTTCCTCTGGGACCCTTTGGCCTTGCCTCCTTGCAGCTCCATGAATCCAAGCACGGCCAGGAACACCACTAGCAGTGATACCTGGTAAAATTAGAAACAGCTCTCACATCCGGCTATGGTTTAAAAGAAGCTAAGCACTGGGATTAATAAGAACTATTATAAAAAGTAATTATAAAAAATAATTGAGGCAGCAACAGACCTCAGGCCTGCTGGGCTGTGTTCCAGCTCCTCTGCATCCATTCCAGCATCTCTTTGTTCCTCTCCAGGTGGCCCCACTGCCAAGAAGAAATGGTGGATTTCCCAGTCTTGCCAGACTTCTCCCAGCAAGTACCTCTGTCCAACAATCTCTTCTTATTCACACATCTCCTTCTTCTTCTTTGGCCTGGAGAGATGAACTCAGGTAGTGTGTCCAACTTGCAGCCCAGCCAGCCAGGCCATGCGCACCTCTACTTCTGCCCACCCCTCCTGCCAGGTGCTTCCAGAGCTGAAATCCATACCCTACCAGGCCATGCCAAGTGCTCCACTCCCACATATAAGCCATAGCTTTTGAAGGGCAGAAAGGACCTCAGGCTTAACAGCTCTCATGAAAGAAGCAGCCAACAGAGATGATACACTAATTATGCAAACATAATTCTCGAATTCCCTGAGCTCGAAACCAGGGATACCAAAATGATGAGGCACATCCCAGGTCCTTAAGAAGGTCAAGGGAGGGGGACAGATGTGACATAAAATCTGTTCAGGGATGTGAACGAGGCTGCAAGAGAAACATACCCAAAGATTTGTGAGCACAGGTAAGAGACAAACCTGTCTTTTCCAAAAAGCCAAGAAGAACCCTAGAGAGAAGGTACTGTTTGAGTGGACCCTTTAAGGACATATATTTTTCAAGAAGATGACAGATGGAGTGTTAACTGAGGCAGGCCATGCCCCAAGGAGAGGGCCAGCCATCAGGTGTGGGTGAAGAGACAACTTGAGGGAATCTGAAAAGGGAAGCTAGTAGGAAGTGTGTTAGGGCTATACCCAGAGGGCAGGAAGGAGTCTCAAATGGGGCAAACAAAAAAAGTCACCACTATATTCTATGAGCAAAGTGAAGGATGGGAAGGATCCATGAAGGGAGAGCTTTGGGATTGGGTTTTAGCTGAGCTTCAAAGGAAGAAAAAGAGGTATGAGAAAAGGTGAAGCCAGAAAGAAGAGTGAGGGCATGCTGAGTGGCAGGAAACAATATGCAAAGGGACTGCTACAGGAATGGCAACTCTCATGGAAATTTCAAAAAACAGGGAGTAAAGGAACCACATGGAGACACCATTTATGAGGGTGATCAAATAAAAAAATTCTAATAAATAAAAATCTTGAAGGCAAGATTTGGCCTTTAGATAGAAAAATCCATGAAGCAAGGAGCCCCCCATAGATTATTTTAATACCTTTTGTTATTAGAGAAGCTGTACATGTGCATTATAAAAATTTAGAAAATCAGAGAAGAAAAAGATAAGAAAACATCTATTCCCATCATGCAGAAATTATCACCATCAACCATTTGGTATATCTCATTTCAGGCCTTTTTTTTCCTGCAAATGTTTTTATGCAAACATGTCACTTTTTAATCAAATAAAAGAGTAGTGTACATATGGTTCTGAAACTTGCCTCTTTTTTTTTGGTCAAAGATTTCTTTTCATGTAATGTCCTGGCTATATTTACATAACTGTCCCCAAAGCAACATTTGCAAATGGTTGGTTCAAACAAATTACCACTCCAGCACCACACATTGTATCTGGTTGTAATATCCCTTGTGTATATTTTAACTTGGCATATTTGTGACAATTATTTCTTCAAGAAGCCAAGACCATTGTTCTGTAAAGTGTCTTACTTTTGTCATTTGAGTTTTTTACTATAGATTCCTGAGCTGCAAAGGAATGTGATAAAAATTTATCTTTGATGAGAACTGATTTGGGCTGTTTTTCTGGCTTCTCATCCTAGAGGAGGTCAGTGTGGTAGGCCCTGGGGAATCCATCCTGGCACTTGTGGGGGAAGAAGTGGAGTTCTCATGCCACTTGTCACCATACCTGGATGCTGAGGATATGGAGATCCGCTGGTTCCGGAGTCGGACCTCTGAAGTGGTCCACCTGTACCAGGGGCGGCAGGAGCTCTACAGCCAGCAGATGATGCAGTTCCAGAACAGGACCAAACTCCTCAAAGATGATATCATGGATGGTAGTGTGAACCTGCAACTCCTTGGCATCATTCCTGCTGATGAGGGCCTGTATGGGTGCCGTTTCCTCTCCAGCAACTTCTCTAGGGAAGCAGTCTGGGAGCTGGAGGTAGCAGGTATGTGACCTAGCCAAGCCCCAGTAGGAGAGACAGAGAAAGGGGTCCATTTGGACAGATTTGCTTTGCTCAAGAGTAGACAGAGAAACATGGAGAAAGGGAAAATATATCTAATTTAAAAAAAACTATTAAAAAGAAAGATTCATTAGCAAATGAACAAAGTAAATGTTCACAAAAAATATATACAAATGGCCCTTAAACATATAAAAAGATGATCACCTTTACTCATCATGAAAGAAAGGTAAATTAAAGCTACCCTGATGCGCAATATTTTACCTCAGAGATTGGCAAAAATTCAACAGTTTGACCATACAGGGGAAGCAGGCCTTCTGCTCTGTACCCTGATGATGAAGTTGAAAGCAAAACTCCAGTGCAGGGGGATTTGGCAATAGTTAACAGGATAGCTTGCACATCTACCGTTTAAACTGCAACCCCATCTCTAGGAGTTTACCCTGAAGATAAACCTCCTACAACTCCAATATGAAAAAGGCATACATATAAATTTAATCTTTGTAACATCATTTGTAATTGTACAACAGTGGAAACTACCTTAGTATCTAAGCGTAGGTGTTGACTATGTCACACATTGGAATGATCCACAGTATGCAGCTGAAAAAATGGGGAGGAGCTCTATGAACTGATGTGGAGTGACTTCTAGGTTGTTGGCAAGAGAAAAAAACAGGTGCAAAAGAGTTCTATAGCATTTAAACTTTTGTGGGAGGAAAAATAAACATTGCACAAAAGGAACACAGGAAGGATACACTAGGAACTAATGAAATTGGTTACCTGAGAGGGGGGAAGGTGCAATGGATGGAAAGGATGGAGAAAGGTTTGGGGCTTTCCTGGTACACATTTTTTTACAGTATGGCTCTTTAAATATGTTAATGTATTTTTATTTTTTTAATACGAAATTTATTGTCAAATTGGTTTCCATACAACACCCAGTGCTCATCCCAACAGGTGCCCTCCTCAATGCCCATCACCCATCCTCCCCTCCATCCCACCCCCCATCAACCCTCAGTTTATTTTCAGTTTTTAAGAGTCTTTTATGGTTTGGCTCCCTCTCTCTCCAACTTTTTTTTCCCCTTCCCCTCCCCCATGGTCTTCTGTTAAGTTTCTCAGGATCCACATAACAGTGAAAATATATGTTGTCTGTCTTTCTCTGTATGACTTATTTCACTTAGCATAACATTCTCCAGTTCCATACATGTTGCTACAAAAGGCCATATTTCATTCTTTCTCATTGCCAAGTAGTATTCCATTGTGTATATAAACCACAATTTCTTTATCCATTCATCAGTTGATGGACATTTAGGCTCTTTCCATAATTTGCCTATTGTTGAAAGTGCTGCTGTAAACATTGGGGTACAAGTGCCCCTGTGCATCAGCACTCCTGTAACCCTTGGGTAAATTCTTAGCAGTGTTTTTGCTGGTTAATAGGGTAGATCTGTTTTTAATTTTTTGAGGAACCTCCACACTGTTTTCCAGAGTGGCTGCACCAGTTTGCATTCCCACCAACAGTGCAAGAGGGTTCCTGTTTCTCCACATCCTCTCGAGCATCTATAGTCTCCTGATTTGTTCATTTTAGCCATTCTGACTGGTGTGAGGTGGTATCTGAGTGTGGTTTTGATTTGTATTTCCCTGATGAGGAGCGATGTTGAGCAACTTTTCATGTGTCTGTTGGCCACCTGGATGTCTTCTTTAGAGAAGTGTCTATTCATGTTTTCTGCCCATTTCTTCACTGGATTATTTGTTTTTTGGGTGTGGAGTTTGGTGAGTTCTTTATAGATTTTGGATACTAACCCTTTTTCCGATATGTGATTTGCAAATATCTTTTCCCATTCTGTTGGCTGCCTTTTAGTTTTGTTGATTGTTTCCTTTGCAGTGCAGAAGCTTTTAGTCTTCATGAGGTCCCAATAGTTCATTTTTGCTTTTAATTCCCTTGCCTTTGGAGATGTGTCGAGTAAGAAGTTGCGGCTCCTCTAGGGTTTTGATGGTTTCCTGTCTCACATTCAGGTCCTTTTTCCATTTTGAGTTTATTTTTGTGAATGATGTAAGAAAGTGGTCTAGTTTCATTCTTCTGCATGTTGCTAACCATATTAATGTTTTGCATATTCAAAATATAAAGTTAGCTCCTCAGGATGGAGAAATAAAGGAGTGCATGTGACACAGGCACTTGAATGCTGGTGGGATTCAAGAGACACAGAGGGCAATATATTGAAATTTGGGGTGGGATTTTTCTTTACTTCAAGGGACTGTCCCTTATGTAATATGACTAAATTCCAGCAGCTCTTCTTGGCCAAATAGCCCCCCATAATATTTCCAAATGTCCTTCATGGGTACTACTGTTCCCATGTGCCACATGCCACCACAAATTTAAAATATCATTTATGGGCACCTGGGTGGCTAAGTAGGTTAATAATCCAACTCTTGATTTCGGCTCAGGTCATGATATCATGGTTTGTGGGATCGAGCCCCATATGGGGCTCTACGCTGACAACATGAAGCCTATTTGGAATTCTCTCCCTCTCTGTCTGCCCCTCCCCAACTTGCACATGCAGATACTCTGTCTCTCAAAATAAATAAATAAATAAACTTAAAAATAAACTGTAATTTACATTCCACAGGTGGGGGCTGTGAGCCCACATGTGTGTTAGGAGCAGTCACAGTCATGATTCCTTATAATGACTGCAAATGGTGAGTGGTGGCATGAACATCATGTACAACTTCTGGGAAGGAGCCTGATCTTTCCCACTCTTCTTGCTTTTCCCAGGGATGGGCTCAGACCCTCACATCTCCCTTGAGGTCTTCAAGGAGGGAGGCATTCAGCTGAAGTGCAGTTCCAGTGGCTGGTACCCCAAGCCCCAGGCTCAGTGGAAAGATCATAAAGGACAGTGCCTGCCTCCAAAGATGGAAGCCATAGTCCAGGATGCCCAGGGCCTGTTCAATCTGGAAACATCTGTGATTGTTCAAGGGGGTGCCCACAGTAATGTGTCCTGCTCCATCCAGAACTCTCTCCTGATACAGAAGAAAGAGTTCACCATCCAGATAGCAGGTCAGTTGGTGCCAACTAACCCTCATCTTCTTACTCATCATGTCCTCCCTGTACATTGTTCCAAAGGCCATCTAAAAGGGCACAGTGGTACTGGGGCCTGGCTGTCTATGGGGTGGGCTGGTCTTGACACCTGAAAAGTTAGTGATTTGGATATCAGGAACCTACTAAGAGTACAACAGCTACCACTCACCCAAACAGTATGCAGGGGAGGCCCCAGGGAACCAACTTATGCACTAAAGTCCATGCCTTGAAATCCAGAAACTATTAATTAGAGGTCATCATGAGATCCCATGTGTTCCTAATTTCATCCCTTAAATGATATTTATTGAGAGCCCTCAATAAATATCGAACTCTTGCACTCAGGTTCACATTCCTGTGGAGAAAATACAAATAAAAGAGTGAATTATATTGTAAGGTTAGAGGATGTTAGGTGCTAAAAAAAGTATTTTGGGTGCTGTACAGAAAATGAAGCAGGGAAGTGTGCTAGGGCATGGTAGGGTGTGTATGTGGATTTAAAAGTGGTAGGTCAGGGAAGAAGATGGTTAGGCAATGAGCTGAAGGGTGAGGCCATTATCTAGGGCCAAAATTTTATTATAAGGCACACACTGAAGGTTTTAATTTTCATGACCAATTGTTTTAAGTCTTGAGGATAAACCTAACCTATGGAGCATTTTTCACATTGGTATAAATAAAGTTATATTACAGTTGACCTTAAACAATTCAGTGGGTTAAGAGTGCTGACCACTTGTGACTCCCCAAAACTTAATTATTAATAATCTACTGTTGACTGGCAGCCTTACTTATAACACAAATAGGAGCTTAACATACATTTTGTATGTTATATGTATTATATGCTGTATTCTGACAATCAAGTAAGCTAGAAAAAAGAAAATGTTATTAAGAAACCCATAAGGAAGAGAGGAACTTGGGAAAATGACAGAGTTGGAAGACCCTGAACTCATCCCATCCCACATTTACAACTAAATATCATCCACATCCAAGTCAACAAACCAGAGAGTGATCTGAAGACTTGCAGAACAAACTCCACAATTAAATATAGAGAAGAAGCTGCAGCTGAAAGGTTAGGAAGGTCAAAAATGCAAAGGGAGGTTACCCACATAGAGAGGGCAGAGAAACAAGCCCTCACACCAGGGATTTCACATGGGGAAGACTATTCCCCATAATGTTTGTCATTAAAAACTGGAGAGGCTGAATTCTGTGAGTTTGTAAAAACAGTGGGATTTGGAGCCTGGAGCTTTAAAAGTCAGCTGATTTGGCATTGGGTGAGCTGGGAGTGTGACAGCTGGGTCACTTAAAAAGACAGCAGCCTGCACACAGAGGCAACATAAAAAAAGGCAGTTGACACAAAGTTGGGGTAAACAGAGGTCAGATCTGTTCATAGTGATTTCAGAGAGTGTTGGGGGAATTCTCCAAAAATGAGGGAGCTAGCAGGCACATTTTTCTCCACCACCTCCCAGCATAAACACAGAGCCATCTGTGGGAGGTAAGGCTGCACAGACACTTGTAGTCTTGACCCAGAGTTCAGGGCAAATTTTGTTAAAGCTGCACATGCATCCCACCCAGCTGACAGGTGCACAGCTCCACAGCCTACCCTGCCCAGCTGCAGTGCAGTGCCCAGCCCTGCACCACGAGCCACCATCATGGGCCATACTCAGTCACACTCAGCCATCATTGAGTGCTGTGACCAGCCTCATTTCCCTACCAGCCTGGTGAAAGCCCCCAGCTGTCACAGTGTTCTGGGGGATCTGGCATAGGAGAAGTGGTCCAATGCAAATATTGCTAACACCTCCACCACACTCGCAAGTGTCCATCACAGCTAGCATGCCTAGGTCCCACTAATGTCACAGAGAGCAAGCATAGCCCACAACAAGAGAAGAGTGAGGGAAGACAACTACATTGAAAAGAAAACTGACTCAAACTCAACAGTAAGGCATAAGCAAAACACATAGGATGTTTTCCTGAAGTGCCTGTTCCTTGTAAACAGGGGACACTGTACTGCAGGGCACTCCAGGATCAATTCTTCATAAAGTAACTTTCAAAAGCAGAAAACATAGCTAACTTTCTTAACACGGAGAAACAGACACAGAGGGGCAGACAAAATGACAGAGAAAATTATCACAAAGAGATCTAAGTGAAACAGAAATAAGTAACATACCTGATACATAAATTAAAGCAATAACCATAAGGATAATCACTGGACTTGAGAAAAGACTGAAGGACATTACTGATCAAGACGGGTCATGATCTCATAGTCTATGGGTTCAAACCCCGCATTGGGCTCTGTGCTGACAGCTCAGAGCCTGAAGCCTGCTTCAGATTCTGTCTCTGTCTCTGTCTCTGTCTCTGTCTCTCTCTGCCCCTCCCCCGCTCATGCTCTGTCTCTCTCTCTCTCAAAAATAAATAAAAATTAAAAAACTTTTTTAGAAATAAAAAATAAATTTGCAAAATATAGTGATAAAAAGTCTTAAAAGCACCAAGACAAAAGAAGTCAATAACTTACAAGAGAAAGCCCATAAGGTTAGCAGATTTTTTAATAGAAACATTGCAAGCCAAAAGGATATGATGATTATTCAAAGTGCTGAATGGGAAAAATCTGCAGCCAAGAATATACTATCTAGCAAGGCTATCATTAAGAATAGAAGGAAAGATAAAGAGTTTCCCAGACAAACAAAAACTTAAGGAGTTAATGACCTACTAAACCAGCCCTGGGAGATATATTAAAAGGGACTCTTTGTGTGGAAAGAAGAGATCAAAAATGACAGTATAAAGGTAGGAAACACAAAAGCAGTAAAAATGAATATTGCACACTAATGCAAATGATTATACAAAATCAACTTTTTTGAATATCATACATAGTATATTAACAAGGCCATAACTTTTTAAAGTTTTTACTTTAATTCCAGTTAGTTAACATACAGTGTTATATTAGTTTCAAGTGTACAACATAGTGATTCAACAATTCCAAACATCACCCAGTGATGGTGTACTTATCATGACAAGTGCACTCCTTAATCCCCATCACCTATTTAACCATCCTTCACCCAACCTCCCCTCTGGTAACCATTAGTTTGTTCTCTATAGTTAAGAGTTTGTTTCTTGGTTTGCCTCTCTCTCTCTTCTTTTCCCTTTGTTCCTTTGTTTTGTTTTTTAATTTCCACACATGAGTGAAATCATATGGTATTTTTCTTTCTCTGACTAATTTATTTCACCTAGCATAAAACTCTCTAGCTCCATCTATGTCTTTGCAAATAGCAAGATTTCATCCTTTTTATGGCAGAGTAATATTCCATTGTATATGTATACATGTTTTCTCTATCCATTCATCAGACAATGGACACTTGGGCTGCTTCCATATCTTGGCTATTGTTGATAATACTGCAATAAACATATGGGTGCATGTAATCCCTTTGAATTCTGTTTTTGTATCCTTGGGTAAATATCTAATTGTGAGTTGCTGGATCATAAGGTAGTTCTATTTTTAACTCTTGAGGAAACTCCATGCTGTGAAATAAGCCAGACACCAAGGGACAAATATTGTTTGATTCACTTACAGTGAGGTGACTAGAGTCATCAAATTCATTTAGAGATGGAAGGTAGAATAGGAGTTGCCAGAGACTGGGTTGGGGTGGCTGGTAAATGGGGAGTTAGTATTTAATGAGTAGAATTTCAGTTCGGGAATTTGAAAAGAGTTGTGGAGATGGATGATGATGATGATCCACAACAATGTGAAAGTAACTTAATGCCACTGAATTGTACTCTCAAAAATGGTTAAGATGGTAAATTTTATGTTATACATTTTACCACAATAAAAAAGAAAAATGTATTTTTAAAAAGACCACTGAACTAAAATCATCACTTGAAAAATAATTATCTTTAACAGACACCAAATTATTCCATTAAATTGCCACAAGAATTTTGAAAGAGTTACCTTCCATTTTCCATGTATCTCTTTGCCATCTAGCCCCTGTCTGAGTGGGCCTGGGCCACATCTTGCTTCAGGGCAGAGCCTCCTCAGTGAGCCTGGGGAGGACAAGGGGGAACTGGTAGTCAACCCTTAAGCAATTTTGCTAACATTTCTTCCAAAGGTGTGATGAGAAGTAAAAGCAAGTGTTTATAAGAAGTTGGCAAAATGAAATGACTTGTGGAGTAGAGAGCAATAATTCACCGTTCTTTGGATACCAACACCTTGGATTTTCAAGTTCTTCAGATATAGGACAATTGTGGAGAGTAGAGGGAGGACAGAGCCATGGTCACAGAAGTTCTAAGCTGGGAGAGTAGGTGGGGTCCATCACTACATCCTTCAATTTCCCTTTTCCACTAAGCAAGTTCGAGCTGGCCACTATTCCTCAGGGTCCTACCTGGGGAGAGCGCGGTGCGGCCGCTGTCATGATGCCCGTTTTCACAGATTGCTATGGTGCTGCCCAGAAGATTTAACGCCTGCCAACTTGGAAGGATTTCCGGCACGCTGGGTCCAGAATAGTCTTCTCACTTAGTGGTGCCTAAAGCGAAACAACTCCTTGTGGGGTGTTTTCCAGATGCATTTTTACCCGGAACCTCACCCTGGAAGAGAGCTTTCCTTGGGTCTCTGGTGGGACTGCCATTCCTCCTGGCTTTTCTCTTGACGCTGGCGCTGTACTTCTTTCAGAAGCAACGTAGGTCCCAAGGTACGGGGCAGCCTGGGGGCCTCCCGCCAGGCTCAGGCTTTGCTGGGAGGAAAGTGGAGGAGGAGGCCCGCGGAGAGGGCACCAAAGAGGTGCGGTCTTGCGAAAACGCGGGGCTGGGGTGGGCCTTGGAAACAGCAGGCGAGTGTGTACCGTTACGTGCACTCCCCTTCTTTCCTCTTTTCAGAAAAGTTGAAGGAGCAGGCTGAGAAGGACAAAGGTAAGCAGAGAAAGAGGCGCGCTCTTTGCCCGCACCCTTAACTAGCTGAAGGTGGTGGGGAGAGGGGGAATTTGCTGGTTCAGGAAGGCGAGTACTTCAGACCCGGGGCGCTTGGAAGTGAGAAACGCGGTGGCGGAGGTTTGCTTTGCCACTTCCCCTGCCACGGAGCCCGCTCCTCCCTCGCGTGTAGCCCCTCCTGGTTCCTCAGAACGCACTGGGGCCGAGTCTGTGCTCTTTAGAGAAGTGAAGCCTCAGTGTACATCAATTGAGATTTTCCTCTTTTCTTCGTTTTTTCTCTAGGGAGACTCACAGAAGAGCTGGGTAAGTTCTGGGTACCACGCCCACAGTGAGGCTACCGACTAGTGGGGTAACCCGATGCGTGCGGGGTGGAAGATGTTCAGTAGTTTAGGCTCCCTGTGGAGAGTGATGGACCGCAACAATCTAATTCTAAACCCATCCTTCTGCTCCGCCCGCCTCTCCACCCCCAAATAACTCGCGTGCAGCAGTGAAGTATGTCTGACTTCAGACCCGCCCCCAGACAAACCCTGCCAGCCCCTCTCCTGCAAATTATAGGATTCGGTTACAATTCCACTATTAAACGTTCATCTTCCTAGGATATCTTTCTCTTTTTAATGCAAATGACACTGAGAAGGGAGGCACGTTTAATTTGCAGGGAAGTGTGAGTAATTTATCAGATTCACTTTTCTCCCCAAGGAACTCAGCACCATGGGCTGTGTGCCTGAACAGAGGAGGGTAGAGTGAATCCAAAGGAATGGAGAGATGGAGGAGAAGGCCACAATAGGTGTGGGGATTGGGTGGGTGGGTGGGGGGAAGACCTCAGGAACCACCTTGCATGCTGCAATAAAACTCCAGGCAAAATTATGAGGTTCCAGAATCTTGTGTTGTAGTCCACCTAGTCCTGTGGAAGGGCAACTATAGTAAGTAATTAACACGCTGGTCTAAATTAGTGTATAGTGTTGCCTTTCCTAGGAGGATTTACTTTTTAATTTTTTAATTTTACATTTATTTATTTTTGAGAGACAGAGAGCACGAGCAAGGGAGGGGCGGAGAGAGAAGGAGACACAGAATCTGAAGCAGGCTCCAGGCTCTGAGCAAGAGTTCAGCACAGAGCCCGATGTGGGGCTTGAACCCATGAACTGGGTGATAATGAGTTGAGCTGAAGTGAGATGCTCAACTGACTGAGCTACCCAGGCGCCCCTAGGAGGATTTACTTTTTTAAAAAGTTTTTAATTCCAGTTAGTTAACATACAGTGTTATATTCGTTTCAGGTGTACAATATAGTGATTCAACACATCCATGCATCACCCAATGCTCATACAGACAAGTGCACTCCTTAATCCCCATCACCTATTTAACCCACCCCCACCGACCTCCCCTCTGTTCGTTTCAGTCTATTTCTTGATTTGTCTATATCTCTTTCTCTCTTATATTTACCTTTTGCTTGTTTGTTTTATTTCTTAAATTCCACATATGAGTGAAATAACACAGTATTTCTCTTTCTCCGTCTTATTTTGCTTGGCATCATACTCTGCAGCTTCATCTATGTCTTGCAAATGGCAAGATTTCATTCTTTTTATGGCTAAATAATATTACATTACACACACACACACACACACACACACACACACACCACTTCTTCTTTATCCATTCATCAATTGATGGACATTTGGGCTGCTTCCATGGCTATAGTAAATAATGCTGCAATAATGAGCATTGTATTCTTTGTATTCATTGTATTCATTGTATTCTTTGGATAACTACCTAGCAGTGCAATTGCTGGATCATAATTGGTCTATACTTTTAACTTTCTGATAAACTTCCATACTGTTTTCCAGAGTGACTGCACCAGTTTGCATTCCCATCAACAGTGCAAGAGGGTTCCCCTTTCTCCATATCCCTGCCAACACCTGTTGTTTCCTAAGTTGTTGATTTTAGCCATTCTGATAGGTGTGATAGCTCATTGTGGTTTTGATTTGTATTTCCCTGATGATGAGTGATATTGAGAATATTTTCATGTGTCTGTTGGCCATGTCTTGGTCTTCTTTGGAAAAAAATGTCTATTCATGTTTATTTGGTTTTGGGTTGTTGAGTTTTATAAGTTCTTTATAGATTTTGGATACTAATTTGCAAGGAAGTGTGAGTAATTTATCAGATTCACAAAACAATCAGTTTTGTTGATTGTTTCCTTCATTGTGAAGATGTTTTTTATTTTGCTGAAGTCCCAATAGTTTATTTTTGCTTTTGTTTTCCTTGCCTTGGGAGATGTATCTAGAAAGAAATTGCCGTGGCCAATGTCAAAAATGTTACTACCTGTGATCTCCTAGGAATTTAATAGTTTCCTGTCTCACATTTAAGTGTTTCAATCATTTTGAATTTACTTTTGTGTATCGTGTAAGAAAGTGGTCCATTTCATTCTTTTGCATGTTGCTGTCTGGTTTTCCCAACACCATTTGTTGAAGACAATGTCTTTTTCCATTGGATATTCTTTCCTGCTTTGTTGAAGATTAACTGACCATATAGTTGTAGGTTCATTTATGAGTTTTCTGTTCTGTTCTATTGATCTATGTGTGTCTATTTTTGTGCCATACCATACTGTTTTGATTACTACAGCTTCGTAATATAACGTGAAGTCCAGAATTGTGATTCACCTAGCTTTGCTTTTCCTTTTCAAGATATCTTTGGCTATTCTTCATGGTTTCACACAAAATTTAGTATTGTTTGTACTAGATCTGTGAAAAATGCTGTTGATATTTTGACATGGATTGCATCAAATGTGTAGATTGCTTTGGGTAATGTAGACATTTTAACAATATTTGTTCTTCCAATCCATGAGTATGAAATGTCTATCCATTTCTTTGTGTCATCTTAAATTTCTTTCATCAGTGTTTTATAGTTTTCAGAATACAGTTCTTTTATCTCTTTGGGTAGGTTTATTTCTAAGTATCTTATTAAAAATTTTTTAATGTTTATTTATTTTTGAGAGAGAGAGAGAGACAGAGCATGAGCAGAGGAGGGGCAGAGAGAGAGAGACACACACAGAATCGGAAGCAGGCTCCAGGCTCTGGGCTGTCAGCACAGGGCCTGATGTGGGGCTTGAACCCACAAACTGTGAGGTCATGACCTGAGCCGAAGTCTGACACTCAACTGACTGAGCCACCCAGATGCCCCTCTGAGTATCTTATTGATGTTGGCACAATTATAAATGGAACTGATTCCTTAATTTATTTCTGGTGCTTCATTCTTGGTGTATAGAAACGCAACAGGTTTCTATGTGTTGATTTGTTACACTGTGACTTTACTGAATTCTTTTATCAGTTCTAGCAGTTTTTTAGTGGAGTCTTTTGGGTTTTCTATATAGAGTACCATGTCATCTGCAAATAGTAAAGTCTTACTACTTCCTTACCAGTTTGGATTCCCTTTATTTCTTTTTGTTGTCTGATTACTGAGGCTAGGACTTCCAGGATTATGTTAAATAACAGTGCTGAGAGTGGACATCCCTGTCTTGTTCCTGACCGTAGAAGAAAAGTTCTCAATTTTTCCCCATTAAGGATGATATTAGCTGTGGATTTTTCATAGATGGCCTTTATTATGTGGAAGCATGTTATCTCTAAACCTATTTTGTTGAGGGTTTTTGTCATGCGTGGATGTTGTACTTTGTCAAATGCTTTTTTTTTTTTAATTTTTTTTTTCAACTTTTATTTATTTTTTGGGACAGAGAGAGACAGAGCATGAACGGGGGAGGGGCAGAGAGAGAGGGAGACACAGAATCGGAAACAGGCTCCAGGCTCTGAGCCATCAGCCCAGAGCCTGACGCGGGGCTCGAACTCACGGACCGCGAGATCGTGACCTGGCTGAAGTCGGACGCTTAACCGACTGCGCCACCCAGGCGCCCCTGTCAAATGCTTTTTATGAATCTATTGAAAGGCTGATATGGTTCTTATCTTTTTTCTTATTGATGTGATGTATCACATTGATTGCTTTGTGAATATGGCACCCTTGCAGCCCAGGAATAAATCTCACTTGATCATGGTGAATGATTTTTTAAAAGTACTATTGGATTTGGTTTGCTAGGATTTTGTTGAGGATTTTTGCATCTATGTTCATCAGAGATATTGGCCTGTAGTTCTCCGTCTGTCTCTGTCTCTCTCTCTTTTTTTCCTTGGTGTCTTTATCTGGTTTTGGCATCAAGGTAATACTGCCCTCATGGAATGAATTTGGAAGTTTTCTTTTATATTTTTTGGAACAGTTTGAAAAGAATAGGTATTAACTCTTCTTTTTTTTTTTTTTT